AGAAATTTGAATGCTTCTCGCTAGATCTCGCAGCGATGTTATTACTTCAGTGGCGAATTCAAATGTTTTCTTCACTGGATCTCTTAGCGCTGTGTAGTGACATTGTCGCTTGATCAAGATCGGCTCGCGCTTGCGCTGCACAGATGTTGCTGGTCCGAACTGATAAACGGTCCGTGAAGCACAATATAATGAGTAGCGCAGTTTCGTTCCTCTTTCATTACGCTTGCCATTTGATGTTGCGCAACGTTGTGGTGGTCGCGCCGTCGCGGATTTTGTCGGCAGGAAAAATGGTCCAAGGAATCGTTCGGTTTGTATGCGTACCGAACCGGAAGCCTCGTACCGAAACGGTTCAATACGATTACATGTTCCGTTACACCCCTAATTGTGTGAATATAATGCATTTAATACAAGATCTAGCAACATATTGGTCCGATTATTCAAAAAGGAGTTTGGGCCATGCAAATTACGGGAGTTTCCCGGGAGAAATAACAAACCGGGAGGGGTCTGGGAGATAGGGCTAAAAAAATGGGAGAAACCCGGGAAAAACGGGAGTGTTGACAGGTATGGTCTAAGGGTTTTTTGGGGTCCTTGAGATGTTTGGACATGCACTGACATTTGTGCTTTTTTCAGTTGCTTATAAACAAATTACTGGCAAAGGTGTAATTACACTATATTTAACACAAATAGGGCTACCATCAGTGATGGGAATAACGGCGTTATAAATACACGGCATTACTAACGGCGTTATCTTTTTCAGTAACGAGTAATCAAACGAATTACTGTTTCCCCCGTTACAACGCAGTTACCGTTACTGACAAAATAATGTGGCGTTACTATAATTGAACTCACTGAAGCGGTTTTCATCCGAGTAGGCTCTCTCTCCGCCATAGGACCTGCAAAGTTTTTTCTCTGGTGTGTGTGTGTGTGTGTGTGTTTATAAGGGGCCGGAGTGGACAAAAGCGAAGCGAACGCCGCGAGTGCGCTCAACACTGCAACAATGCGCGAGAGAGACCGAGTGTGTCCGAGAGCGCGCTCAACAGTTGCGCAAGAGAGACCGAGGGTGTCCGAGCATTATATAGTTCGTTTATAAATAAATGACAAATTTCAGCATTAGAATAATCTCTATAGCCTATTGGTATCATGTGCAACGTTTTAATTAATGTACATGGTTATACAAATAAAATAAAATAAAATAACCTGCAGGGAACGTTCTGGGAAGGTTATGAAAATAAAACCTAAAAATAACAGGGAACGTTCTGACAACGTTCTCTTTAGGTTATAAAATAAAACCCGAAAATAACCTGCAGGGAACATTCCCAGAAAACATCTTTGTTTGACCGGTTGTAAACACGTGCGGCAAACATGCCTAGAATTTGGCTTAAATAACCTTTGATGATGACGTTCTCCGTAGGTTATTAAAATAAACCCCAAAAATATTATATTTTATTATTATTATATTTTTTTTGGTAAATTGTTCAGTATTATATTGAGAGAGCACTTCTTGTTAAACAGTTTACTTTTGTGAGGTAGAAAATACTTAGGCTACAGTATGTCTAATAGTTGTGAAGTTGTGTAACAGTTTTAGCATTTTAATATGCACTGCAGAGTATATTTTTTATTATTATTTATTCATTTTTGGTACATTTCTTAAGTAGCATAATTTATTTTTAAACTTATTTGTTGGCCAGTTGTGGTCTGTGCGATATTAAGTATAAACCGTCTATTATGTTTTATTGTTCTACTATAGTAATGATAATATTTAGAATAATATATTGAATTTAACAGGTGTCTCTCACATTGTCCCACAGCAACATTAAAATAGTGTAGATTAGTGTTCAATGTTTTATAATAATAATTTATTCTATTAAGTGTCCATTTCATTCATTTAACATATTTAATACTGGGGGCATCCAAGTTATTTGACATAGGCCTATTTGAACATTTTTTTTTAAAGTAACACAATAGTTACTTTCTCTGGTAATTAGTTATAAGGATATAACTCAGTTACTAACTCAGTTACTATTTGTGAGAAGTAACTAGTAACTATAACTAATTACTTTTTTTAAGTAACATGCCCAACACTGGCTACCATAATATGTGAGCAACATGTATGTACATGTTTGTATTTTTGAGAGAATATTGTTTATGCATGGTTATTGAAAAAACTAAAACTTAAAGTTTCTGAAATAAGGCCACAAAACATACTAAATATGTGTCCACAAGACTTTTGACTAATGGATGTTGTTGCCTAGAGTTTTTTCTTCAAAATGATCTGAAAATCATCATGCCTAATTATTCACATAAAACAATACATTCATTTCAATTTTATATGACACTTTTTGTTTGGAAAGGCTGTAGTGGCAATTTTAATGATATTCATTGATCTTTAGTAAAATATAGATGATTCAAAGAATGTCACATGTGTGTCTCACTTGTAGTGAGAGAAGATTCTGTTTATGTACCTGGGGAGGCAGAAGAGGGAGACACTCCAGAGAACAGACGAACAAGGACCTCTGACCTAGATGTCAGAAGGCCATTTTGGTGCAGGGGGGCTTATTGGGCCAACTAGTGACGTCTATGGAAAACTACTGGGAGGAAGGCTCTGGGGCGAAGAAGGCCTTGAAACTAAGATAAAAGCTAGTTCAGTCTGTCTGGGGGTGTGTCACTCTTCTGCACAGGGTAACAACTGTGTATTAGACTGCTCCTATTCTTGCAAGAATAAATACTTCTATTTTATATAATTTGACTCTGAGTGTCTCTTACGCAGTGATGTTTGTTTGAGATGAATTTTTGCCACAACAAGGCAATATGCGCAGGGGCAGAACTTGCTGTGATTCACACCTGAGAAGACAATGGGCCCGCATAATGAGCGCATAATGGGGCTGCATACTAATGGGGCTGCATACTAATGAGCCTTTCATTCAGGTGTGTCACTGAGCCACAAGAATGCAAGGACAAAATATATATATATATAATACAAAATTGGTTCACAGTTCCAATTTTTTTCTTCTTCAAATTGTGCTTGCAAATTGTATAATATCCAAGGTAAACAAGTAGTAAATACCCTACATTACCTGTCAATTTGATTGATTGACAGGTGGGCGTGTCTATCATTTGATCTTCCCCCGCCCCTTCCGGTCCCTCCCCTTCCTGTCCCGCCCCTTCCGGTTCCGCCCCTACCTGTTACCTTTGACCCAGTTACGCCCCATCCGGTTACCTTTGACCTAGTTCCGCCTCTTCCTGTTAAACTTTCTGTCAAAATGATGGATGGTGACAGTTTGTTTAATCGTTTGAAGTTAGTTTGAGATGTATTGGCCTTTGATGTTACAGTTACAAAGTGATGTGATACTTATTTTTTTCAGCGCATCCCCTCACTATGCCTAAGCTTATCATAGCAGGTGTGTGTGTGAAAGTGATAAGAAAAAACTGTGAAAGTTTATCTGACACAAACGTAAAAAATAAAGGTATTCAGTGAAGCATTTCAGATTAAAAAAACGGAGCCATTAAAATTGTAAACAGTTAAAAATGTATTAGAGTTGAATAATATAAAACATACAGTTTATGTAAAACCTCACACAAAAAGTTGAAATAAAATGATCTCCCTCTGCCTCAAAACATAGGGAGCGCGCGTCTGTGTATTTCCCCCTCCCTCCCACTCTCACTCCCACATTGCTTGGGGCGCTGGAATTTTATCTGACTAAAGTTGAAAAAGCATTGTGTTCATTTTAAATTATATAAAATAAAATATAAAATACAAAATAAATGTCTTACTGAACCAATTATTTCAAAATAAATAAATAAATACATCTTGCATGTTTTACAGAGTTGGAAGAAAAAATCACACAGGTAGTGCCTGCCAGCATGGACAGGGTGCATGACAAATAAGTGATATCATCGCTGTTTTCGTACCACCGGTAATAAATTACTTTTAATTCATAAGACTTATTTTCAGGAGTGACAGTTATCAGTGAAATATGGCGCTCGTGTAATCAAAAGGTCTGCCTAGCCCCTGGGAATGTGAATTGGCCTTGAACCTAAACACTTCCATTCATAGAGTACTGAAAGAATATAGTGGACACACAGCTCCGCCGTTTTCCCATAGTTTTACTGTAAAAGGCTATAAAATAGCCAAGACACATGGACATGTGCCATACCCCATGTCTGGACCAAAAACTTTTGCACCTTTGACCACCTCATCAAAAATGCAAAACAGTGACTATTTTCTCTATACTTCATTTATGCTACGCTGTTTTAAACAATACTATTGCTGTTTATCTGTATTATGCAATGATGTTTAATTTGAAAAATTGTTTATACATAAGGAAAAGACGGTATAATTCATTAGTGTTTTAAATAGCCTAGGCTATGTATTTGTTTTATCCGCATTTCGCTATTGGTATTTTTATCTGCTGTAACTGGTGATACAGATATTTTTATCTACTATATTAATTTATCATAAAGTATGATTTTAAAAATGTACAACATTGTTTATGTTCATTATGCTATGGTTTTTTAAACCATATCACAAAAGTATCAGTTTAATATGACTGTTTTACAGCAATGTTTATTTTGCATTATGCTATGTTGTTTTAACTGTTGTATTTTTTATCTGATGTAACTAAAATCTGCAACATCGTGTATTTAAGCTGCGGGATTTCCATAAAGGACCTTAAAATAAATGTTTTGGATTTTATTCAGTTTTAAATCTTATTTAGATTATTTTAGTCAGACATGCTTATATGTGCATAGGCCTATTTTATTCCTCTTCAGTTACTTACTTTTTAAATTTTGGTAGGCTACTTTTTAATTCTTCTTTTACTCTGTCTTTGATTTTAACTTTTAGCAATTTGCATGATAAATTGTTTAACATGTAAGCTATATGAATGACACTGTCACAATGTGATAGGCAAAACATATAAAAGTCAAGTCAAAGCTATTTATATAGGCTAGCGCTTTTCATTGGCATTTAAAATAACATGGTCTTTCCTTCTCTCTCTCTCACAGCAAACACTGCAGGACAATCAGGCATCCAAGTAACATGTTAGTATGGTTTATATTTTATTTTTAATGAGAAAACATTATAGAGTCCAACAGGCGGTTTCTGGAAGTAAAAACATTTACTTTCTCCATACGGAAATTAATTTTAAAGACAGACCTACTGTGAGCTAAGAGGTTGTTAATACATGGTATTTGCTTCTGATAAAGCCTTCAGCTTATTGTTTTGTAAATAATCGTGTTTCACAGTTGAACTCCTGGTGAAAACTACATTACCCATGAGCCATGATGCTGTATTGAAAATTATGTCAAACATAGTTTTAAAAAAAAAAAAGCAACACACTCCAAAATAGCTCTGCCCACTCCCATGAAGCACTGCGAATGACATAATCTCCCTACCCTCTCAAAATACTGAAATGTTTGTATAAGCTATATATGCATATTTTGCATATTTATATATAAATATATTTTTAAATCACTATGGGAAATAAGAATTAAAAAGGGGGAAGGCACTGTTGCACTCTATGTATAATAAACAATTGACAGATGAACTGACAGATATTTTATGTAAACAGGCAAAATCTCTGCATCTGATGATGGCCATGTGTTTTCGCCGATCATAACTGGTTTAACTCTTGGCTCCTTTGAGATCAATATGACTTCTGCCAAATCAAATGTACCGGCAAATTGTAAGTGTAGTACACGAGAAACTATTAAAACAGTTTTCGCCTATGTAATGTATAAAATTAATCTTAATGAATCAGTCGTAGTTAACTATTTGGGACCAATTTTAAGGAAGGTTACATTGTGGTCTAACAGTGTCATGTGCAAATTTGCAATACAGAATTTGTTTGTGTTTTTGGTACTATTGGATCGAGCTTTGTAGAATTTGCCCAGATGAATTTATTTTATTTAGTGTCATGCTCCTGGATTATTCAGACTCAGAATTGTAACTATTACTATAGCCTTTATCAGCCATTTATTTTACTCCAGACTTATCCAACTTATTTATTTACTGCAGATTTTATCAAAGGCACGAATTAACTCAATTCATGGCATCAATAATAAAAGAAGAAAAAAATGAACAATTGACAGATGAACTGACAGATATTTTATGTAAACAGGCAAAATCTCTGCATCTGATGATGGCCATGTGTTTTCGCCGATCATAACTGGTTCAAGCTCCTTTGAGATCAATACGACTTCTGCCAAATCAAATGTGCCGGCAAATTGTAAGTGTAATACACGAGAAACTATTAAAACAGTTTTTGCCTATGTAATGTATAAAATTAATCTTAATTAAGCAGTCGTAGTTAACTATTGGGACCAATTTTAAGGAAGGTTACATTCTGGTCTAACATTGGCATGTGCACATTTGCAATACAGAATTTTTTTTATGTTTTTGGTACTATTGGATCGAGTTTTGTAGAATAAGCCAAGATTAATTTATTTTATGTGGTGTAATGCTCCTGGATTATTCAGACTCAGAATTGTAACTATTACTATAGCCTTTATTAGCCATTTATTTTACTGTAGACTTATCAAACTTATTTATTTACTGCAGATTTTATCAAAGCCAAATACTGCCCAAAAGGGGATACTGGGAAAGAAGAGAAACAGGTTAATACAAGGTTAGATTCAATCTTTATATTCTTTCCCGTTTTGCCTGCATTTTCCTTTTCCTGTTATTGTTTTAATTTTTATATTCTCAGATCATCAAAGGTTTCTGAAAGCAAACACCAGTCAGTTGGTTGAAAAAGTGAAGAACATTGATCCAATAATTGACCATCTTGATTGCTCAATGAATCAGTTACAAATGTGCGAGCGAATCCAACACACCAGATGAAGATGAGGGAACTGCTGGACTGTGTGAATTATGAAAGCATTGCCAACGACCTGGTCAACGCTTTGTTCAAGCATGAAGAATCTTTCATGAAGAAACTGCAATAACAACTGTTGTAGCCTATAGTTTGGCATTATGTACTTAAACAGTTTTTTAAAAAAGAAATGTTTTTAATAATTGATTGGTGATGGAGTTTTAATTTTTGTATTGAGAACCAAGTATATTGTACAAGTAAGAAGATACCAAACTGTCCATATAATGATATATTGCACATAATAAACAATGGCAAAGTTTGTATTCCTTAAAAAACAGGCAATGTTTGAGAACCCTAATATTGGTGTAATCTCAGCGAGGTCTCAACCACAAACGCAAAACTTTGTGGTGGGTGATACGGGCATAGCTTTACTAAAGGAAAATATTATGGAAGTAATTTTCAAACTATATTTTATTTATTTATATTATGGTTTTCATGTTGATTTAAAGTTTTTGTTATTAACTATTACCTTTACTTCAACATCCAGCACAAAATTAAAGAGATGAATGATCTAAGGATGTTCTCTGACCCCAAATAAACAGATAATGGAATGTTCACAAGCTACAGTTAGATAGTATTCTGCTTAGTATGTGTGTAAATAGTTGTGCTTAAATGTTTGGATGTATTTTTACACGCCAACATATTTTGTCACACCGTAGTGATGCAAAGTTCCACACTCTTGTAAAGACTATGGTCTAACTTTAAAACATAATCTTTATACATGAATTCAAAAGACCAAATCACTAAGAAAAGCCCCGTTTATAATAATAAATACACAAAAGTTCACAAATGATGGTTTTATTACTATTATTATTACTATTCAGATAGCAGACGACACTGGTTCACATTTTGAATGTGTGTCTGTTTTAGGTGAAGACTTTTCTTTGAGAGCCGTCAACATTCATTGTTTATAGGAATAAATGACCATTAATAATTTAAGTGTTTGTACTCTGAAGTATTTCTGTTTGAGAATGTTTGACTAAATTGCAACTTTCCCTCTATCTACGATGTGGAATCACACAAAAGTATTAACATGCTGTTAATATAAGCAAGTATTACTTAAGTTACTTATAAGTAACTATTAACACGAAAAGCAAGCGCATGCTGTTTTACACGTTACACTGTTATTACAACAGAATCACATATGACTATTGCACTGAGAGAGGCCTTTTCATTAAGACTGTTAAACAAAGTTCGGTGTTTAAAATTAAAATTGCACCAAAGTAAATGCTAGTGATCAACTTGCTAAAAAGTAAATACAACATGAGCCATACAGAAAAGCCATTCGTGAGCAGTTTTGAAAGTTTGTAATTGACATCATGTTTCTTTTTGTTTTTGAACAGTTTGAAAAAACTATAGTCTACGAACGTGGTCAAACATAGGAATTTATGAAAAACATGAACAGATATTTCTACATGAGATATTTATTTTAGAACATCTTTCAGCTATGTCTACGAAACATCGACATGAAAGATGAGTATTGCTGTTTTTCTGTTACCTATAAAACTATTATACTTCAAACTCGTCTAGCTATTGCCCATTTCACAGCACAGTCGGTTATTTTTTTCTACCTGGCTAAACAACGGTTAAGCTAATGAATTACCGTTGAAAGGCGGGATGATTCATTTTTTTATCTGTCTACACCGATACTTTGACACAAGAGTTTTAGGCAGGGGTCTTTTAGGCCTGATCCAGAAAACAGACGTTGTGTTTTATGTCTTAATAATCGTTCTTCTTTTTATGAAAAGTAAGCAGTTTTGGCCTCATCAGCAGACGAAATGTTTTAACATATCGTAAATATCAATTGTTATATAAATTATATCTAACTATCAACAGTTATATGTGAAACACGCTCAGTCGCATTAGAGTCGGATTCTTGTTTATATTGAACATTGTTATTGAACCGCTAGTGTTCTTAAATTGTTTACCACGGTTTCATTTTTAACAACACTATCGTAACACTTTTCGTATTTTGTACGATGTTTTCTTTACACTCTCACCCCATGGATATCCGTTTCCTACGGTTAGCTGTAATGTTAGTGAACTCTAGGCCTTCTCTTTTTTTCATATACGACAGTATTTGCATGGATTGGCTTGATTTAATAAAATGATGGTTTAAACCACATTATATTATTATACCATCCTAGTTTTTAAATATCTCTTAAATGTATATTTTATATTCTAACCCTTTATGCGAATGCGGATATAGAATACCGCACAAGGATCTCTGAAATATTTTTTTTTAGTGTAAAACATCATAGATCTATCTATGTTTTTAAAAATACAAAGACATCTTTCTCTAAGTGACCCTTAAAATCTGGGGATACAACAAAACACAGTGCTTCCGTGTAGCTACGATGATTGATCAGAAAATTACTTTTGTTGCTTTGTTTGAAGAAACACTTTAATCAGCTGGTGCTTGATAATTATTAAACAACCCTCAATTCGGTAATGGTGTGTTTTACGCGATATTGATATCGCGGTTTAATTTAAACTCAATGCGCTAAAGTTCTATAACTGAACTTAATATTTGGTAAAGTTAACTTAAAGCCTTACTTTCTCAATGCTTTTTACAGAACTTGTTGCAAACAATTCATCCCCCTTTTTTTAACCTCTTAATCTTTAATGAAAATATCATTACTGGATTAAGAGAAAATATTTGTCTTTGTCAGGAAAACAATGTTTCCTACATTTAGCCGTGATGCTAGCAAGCTCTTGGTTTTCTCGCCATCTCTTTGCTTGTATACAATACTTGATATGCATTAAACCACGGTATTCATTTAAATAGTATATTATCCAAGTTTATTACTATAATTATATTTTGGGGCGGTAAGTGGACATCTCTCTGGCGGCATATGCATAACTTCTCCATGACTTTACTTATGATTCAATGAGGCTTTAATCCTACGTAGCGGTTTACGACGTCATGACAATGACACCCCTATACAACTCCTCCTACGGGGCGGGCTGAGCACTATCAGTTGTCCTGATAAACTCTACACAGAGCCCAGCCTCAGTTATCGCACACAACCCCTGGCTCTAGCTCTAATAGTCGCGGACTGATGTGCTACTGCAACATTGATCAAAAGTCGAAGGAACATTGTCTGGTTGTTACATGGACTGTCAAAGGCCGCTTCAACCTTCTTGTTTGTCAGACGCAAACTACACTTTTTTCGACTCACACTTCTGACCCAAAAACTTTGTTAATGCACAAAGTCTATACGATTGTGCTGTAAGGACTTCCAGGAGACTCCAGGAACTAACAGAATCTTTCACCATCGAATAGGGGACCGAAAAATCTGAAAACTTCAGAAATGGCGACGCAAAAGCTGATGGAGAGCGACTCCCCGTTGAGTTCTGGCGTAGCGGGGACACTGCACCATCCGGCGTGTGAGTGCGCCACAGGGAAAGAGTGTCGTTTAAGAGCTACGCTAGACTCTATGTTTAAAGATCATTTTAGAGGCCCGATGGTTAGCTTGATGCACAGGATCATCGAGGCTGTGTTTGATGAGAATAATGATTATGCGAGGGATACCAAACGTGTGAAAAATCTCAAAAAAGAAATGGATGTCATAAGAGGCTTGGTTGGATCCTGGACAGATGTTACGCCCATGTTTTTAAACGGCAAAGAACCGATCGGCGTAATCCTCAGAAAAGTTCTGGATGTGATGCTTGAATCTCGTGAGGAATTCGAAGTCGACGAACTACTCTGTATGTGTACGTTTGTAACAGATCTCTGTGTGTCACTGTTGTCAAAAAATGTAAAAACAGATATTGATGAAATAGTTGAATGTCTGGTCAGCTATGCCCTAGAGCAAAACATGATTGCATGCCGCGACTTTATATTCTGGCTGGATCACCTGTAAATGTCGTTATTGTTTACATTATGTACAGGATGTAATGCCGGTCTGTCATTTTCTTCACTACTTCAATATATATGATTGTATACTCAAAAGTATAACGTTGAAATAAAAAAATGATAGTTTATTTTATAATCATGTCCGATCTCATTAAAACCTTACATCTAAATTGCATTTTAAATATTTCAAAGACCCTCGCGCCACATTTGATGTCCACTTACCGCCCCAAAATATAATTATAGTAATAAACTTGGATAATATACTATTTAAATGAATACCGTGGTTTAATGCATATCAAGTGTTGTATACAAGCAAAGAGATGGCGAGAAAACCAAGAGCTTGCTAGCATCACGGCTAAATGTAGGAAACATTGTTTTTCTGACAAAGACAAATATTTTCTCTTAATCCAGTAATGATATTTTCATTAAAGATTAAGAGGTTAAAAAAGGGGGATGAATTGTTTGCAACAAGTTCTGTAAAAAGCATTTAGAAAGTAAGGCTTTAAATTAACCCTCTGGGGACCAAGAACGCGCCCGCGCGTTTTGCTGTTTTTTTTTCACATAGCAGCAACATAGACTTAAAATACTCCGTCATTTATGGTCATATAAATAAAATCAATACATGATTATAAACTATAGAGGGTCTTCTTTTTTTGTGTACACTCACATTAACATCAAAACCTTGTGCTTTTTTAAAAATAAATAAAATAAACAGGGTGCGCTTTCAGCTCACTCTATCTCCGCAAAAATCTTTCTGAAACATGTCTGGAAAATTAACGGAAACTCCGCAAATACTTATCACACAAACATGAAACATACGTCTAAAGAACGCTTTAAATTTCTACTTTTAAATAAAACAATTCACATTTAAAACAAATATTCTCCTGCAATGTGATTACATTGCAGGAGAATATTTGTTTTAAATGTGAATTGTACAGATTTGTCAAAAACTAAAGAGAAGTACAGTTTCTCCTGTCTCAGCTCATTATCGTTAATTTGTTCACACCCACTCGCAGAGCGCGCTATTCATAAGATAATGTGTTGAGGCCATTTGCAAAATAGATAAACGCCCCCAGGCAAATGCTGTAAACACACAATATTTTTTAGTCAGATTAAGATTCGTCTTATGAGGAATAATCCTGGGACATTTACCACAGAACAAGTGCTGGTTTCACTTCGAGGAGGAGCAACAGATTCAGCTGAGAAGTGTAAGTGTTTTGTGCTTTGTTCTAATCGCGATATAGAATAACGTTAGTGTCTGTAAACGGACAAATAGCATATCCTACTGTTTAAATGTGAATTATGTTTCTCTCTCTGTGTGTGTGTGTGTGTGTGTGTGTGTGTGTGTGTGTGTGTGTGTGTGTGTGTGTGTGTGTGTGTGTGTGTGTGTGTGTGTGTGTGTGTGTGTGTGTGAATGAATGAATGAACGCACAGATACGCACTGTTACAGACGAAATAAAAGAACATTTCTTTGACTAGTTTTGGATAAAGTTTTTCAAATCAAATAAGCATCAAATAAGCTTCAAAATAAAGACATCAAATAAGCTTATGTTTTGTCAATAAACTAATCAACTAAGATGTTTGTTCCAATGCAAGCTATATCAAAATAATGAATCCTCAACTTTGAAATATGTATGATCAAACTAAGACATTTATGGAAAAAGACTATTTTCTTTTCAAGATGTTTCCAACTGTAACTTTGAACTTTGAACTGAAATAAAACCATGTCTATGGTGAAGGGTGTGTGATAGAAGTGTCCAGACGTATGCACCCTGTATTTTCCTTATATAAATCCAAACAATCTAAAAGCCATTCTTTTTTAAATCTCCTCATTCTTTGTGCAAGGCTCCTGTAATGATATGGCCTGATAGCACCTAATAGGGCCATTATGGGAGGGTCTTTGTCTTTCTCAGGTGTGGAATGCCACAAATATTAATGAGAGATCAAGCCTCCTGCATAAAGCTTTCTCAAACAAAACACGTCATTAAAAATGTAAAAGACTTTATTGACTTATCTGAATGAGCAGTCAGGATGATTCTCACATAGTTTTGGAGCAAATATTCTAGGCTATGTGATACAATTTTCAAAAGTCTTGTGAAGAAATAATCAATATGTGTTTTGTGGTCTTATTTCAGCAACTTTCATTTTTATTTTTTTCAATAACCACGCATAAACATTATTCTATTAAAAATACAAACATGTACATACATGTTGCTCACTTATCATGGTAGTCCCGTCTGTGCTATATAGAGTGAATTTACACCTTTGCCATTAACATGTTTATAAATAACTGAAAAAAGCACAAATGTCAGTGCATGTCAAAACATCCCAAGGGCCCCAAAAACACTCTGGTCCCCAGAGGGTTAACTTTACCAAATATTAAGTTCAGTTATAGAACTTTAGCGCATTGAGTTTAAATTAAACCGCGATATCAATATCACGTAAAACACACCATTACCGAATTGAGGGTTGTTTAATAATTATCAAGCACCAGCTGATTAAAGTGTTTCTTCAAACAAAGCAACAAAAGTAATTTTCTGATCAATCATCGTAGCTACACGGAAGCACTGTGTTTTGTTGTATCCCCAGATTTTAAGGGTCACTTAGAGAAAGATGTCTTTGTATTTTTAAAAACATAGATAGATCTATGATGTTTTACACTAAAAAAAATATTTCAGAGATCCTTGTGCGGTATTCTATATTCGCATTCGCATAAAGGGTTAAAATATAAAATATACATTTAAGAGATATTTAAAAACTAGGATGGTATAATAATATAATGTGGTTTAAACCATCATTTTATTAAATCAAGCCAATCCATGCAAATACTGTCGTATATGAAAAAAAGAGAAGGCCTAGAGTTCACTAACATTACAGCTAACCGTAGGAAACGGATATCCATGGGGTGAGAGTGTAAAAAAAACATCGTACAAAATACGAAAAGTGTTACGATAGTGTTGTTAAAAATGAAACCGTGGTAAACAATTTAAGAACACTAGCGGTTCAATAACAATGTTCAATATAAACAAGAATCCGACTCTAATGCGACTGAGCGTGTTTCACATATAACTGTTGATAGTTAGATATAATTTATATAACAATTGATATTTACGATATGTTAAAACATTTCGTCTGCTGATGAGGCCAAAACTGCTTACTTTTCATAAAAAGAAGAACGATTATTAAGACATAAAACACAACGTGTTTTTTTTACACTCTCACCCCATGGATATGAATTATTATTATTATTATTAACGTCTGTTTTCTGGATCAGGCCTAAAAGACTCCTGCCTAAAACTCTTGTGTCAAAGTATCGGTGTAGACAGATAAAAAAATGAATCATACCGCCTTTCAACGGTAATTCATTAGCTTAACCGTTGTTTAGCCAGGTAGAAAAAAATAACCGACTGTGCTGTGAAATGGGCAATAGCTTGACGAGTTTGAAGTATAATAGTTTTATAGGTAACAGAAAAACAGCAATACTCATCTTTCATGACGATGTTTCGTAGACATAGCTGAAAGATGTTCTAAAATAAATATCTCATGTAGAAATATCTGTTCATGTTTTTCATAAATTCCTATGTTTGACCACGTTCGTAGACTATAGTTTTTTCAAACTGTTCAAAAACAAAAAGAAACATGATGTCAATTACAAACTTTCAAAACTGCTCACGAATGGCTTTTCTGTATGGCCCATGTTGTATTTACTTTTTAGCAAGTTGATCACTAGCATTTACTTTGGTGCAATTTTAATTTTAAACACCGAACTTTGTTTAACAGTCTTAATGAAAAGGCCTCTCTCAGTGCAATAGTCATATGTGATTCTGTTGTAATAACAGTGTAACGTGTAAAACAGCATGCGCTTGCTTTTCGTGTTAATAGTTACTTATAAGTAACTTAAGTAATACTTGCTTATATTAACAGCATGTTAATACTTTTTTTGTGATTCCACATCGTAGATAGAGGGAAAGTTGCAATTTAGTCAAACATTCTCAAACAGAAATACTTCAGAGTACAAACACTTAAATTATTAATGGTCATTTATTCCTATAAACAATGAATGTTGACGGCTCTCAAAGAAAAGTCTTCACCTAAAACAGACACACATTCAAAATGTGAACCAGTGTCGTCTGCTATCTGAATAGTAATAATAATAGTAATAAAACCATCATTTGTGAACTTTTGTGTATTTATTATTATAAACGGGGCTTTTCTTAGTGATTTGGTCTTTTGAATTCATGTATAAAGATTATGTTTTAAAGTTAGACCATAGTCTTTACAAGTGTGTGGAACTTTGCATCACTACGGTGTGACAAAATATGTTGGTGTGTAAAAATACATCCAAACATTTAAGCACAACTATTTACACACATACTAAGCAGAATACTATCTAACTGTAGCTTGTGAACATTCCATTATCTGTTTATTTGGGGTCAGAGAACATCCTTAGATCATTCATCTCTTTAATTTTGTGCTGGATGTTGAAGTAAAGGTAATAGTTAATAACAAAAACTTTAAATCAACATGAAAACCATAATATAAATAAATAAAATATAGTTTGAAAATTACTTCCATAATATTTTCCTTTAGTAAAGCTATGCCCGTATCACCCACCACAAAGTTTTGCGTTTGTGGTTGAGACCTCGCTGAGATTACACCAATATTAGGGTTCTCAAACATTGCCTGTTTTTTAAGGAATACAAACTTTGTCATTGTTTATTATGTGCAATATATCATTATATGGACAGTTTGGTATCTTCTTACTTGTACAATATACTTGGTTCTCAATACAAAAATTAAAACTCCATCACCAATCAATTATTAAAAACATTTCTTTTTTAAAAAACTGTTTAAGTACATAATGCCAAACTATAGGCTACAACAGTTGTTATTGCAGTTTCTTCATGAAAGATTCTTCATGCTTGAACAAAGCGTTGACCAGGTCGTTGGCAATGCTTTCATAATTCACACAGTCCAGCAGTTCCCTCATCTTCATCTGGTGTGTTGGATTCGCTCGCACATTTGTAACTGATTCATTGAGCAATCAAGATGGTCAATTATTGGATCAATGTTCTTCACTTTTTCAACCAACTGACTGGTGTTTGCTTTCAGAAACCTTTGATGATCTGAGAATATAAAAATGAAAACAATAACAGGAAAAGGAAAATGAAGGCAAAACGGGAAAGAATATAAAGATTGAATCTAACCTTGTATTAACCTGTTTCTCTTCTTTCCCAGTATCCCCTTTTGGGCAGTATTTGGCTTTGATAAAATCTGCAGTAAATAAATAAGTTTGATAAGTCTACAGTAAAATAAATGGCTAATAAAGGCTATAGTAATAGTTACAATTCTGAGTCTGAATAATCCAGGAGCATTCCACCACATAAAATAAATTAATCTTGGCTTATTCTACAAAACTCGATCCAATAGTACCAAAAACGTAAAAAAAATTCTGTGTTGCAAATGTGCACATGCCAATGTTAGACCAGAATGTAACCTTCCTTAAAATTGGTCCCAATAGTTAACTACGACTGCTTAATTAAGATTAATTTTATACATTACATAGGCAAAAACTGTTTTAATAGTTTCTCGTGTATTACACTTACAATTTGCCGGCACATCTGATTTGGCAGAAGTCGTATTGATCTCAAAGGAGCTTGAACCAGTTATGATCGGCGAAAACACATGGCCATCATCAGATGCAGAGATTTTGCCTGTTTACATAAAATATCTGTCAGTTCATCTGTCAATTGTTCATTTTTTTCTTCTTTTATTATTGATGCCATGAATTGAGTTAATTCGTGCCTTTGATAAAATCTGCAGTAAATAAATAAGTTGGATAAGTCTGCAGTAAAATAAATGGCTGATAAAGGCTATAGTAATAGTTACAATTCTGAGTCTGAATAATCCAGGAGCATGACACTAAATAAAATAAATTCATCTGGGCAAATTCTACAAAGCTCGATCCAATAGTACCAAAAACACAAACAAATTCTGTATTGCAAATTTGCACATGACACTGTTAGACCACAATGTAACCTTCCTTAAAATTGGTCCCAAATAGTTAACTACGACTGATTCATTAAGATTAATTTTATACATTACATAGGCGAAAACTGTTTTAATAGTTTCTCGTGTATTACACTTACAATTTGCCGGCACATTTGATTTGGCAGAAGTCATATTGCTCTCAAAGGAGCCAAGAGTTAAACCAGTTATGATCGGCGAAAACACATGGCCATCATCAGATGCAGAGATTTTGCCTGTTTACATAAAATATCTGTCAGTTCATCTGTCAATTGTTTATTATACATAGAGTGCAACAGTGCCTTCCCCCTTTTTAATTCTTATTTCCCATAGTGATTTAAAAATATATTTATATATAAATATGCAAAATATGCATATATAGCTTATACAAACATTTCAGTATTTTGAGAGGGTAGGGAGATTATGTCATTCGCAGTGCTTCATGGGAGTGGGCAGAGCTATTTTGGAGTGTGTTGCTTTTTTTTTTTTAAACTATGTTTGACATAATTTTCAATACAGCATCATGGCTCATGGGTAATGTAGTTTTCACCAGGAGTTCAACTGTGAAACACGATTATTTACAAAACAATAAGCTGAAGGCTTTATCAGAAGCAAATACCATGTATTAACAACCTCTTAGCTCACAGTAGGTCTGTCTTTAAAATTAATTTCCATATGGAGAAAGTAAATGTTTTTACTTCCAGAAACCGCCTGTTGGACTCTATAATGTTTTCTCATTAAAAATAAAATATAAACCATACTAACATGTTACTTGGATGCCTGATTGTCCTGCAGTGTTTGCTGTGAGAGAGAGAGAAGAAAAGACCATGTTATTTTAAATGCCAATGAAAAGCGCTAGCCTATATAAATAGCTTTGACTTGACTTTTATATGTTTTGCTTATCACATTGTGACAGTGTCATTCATATAGCTTACATGTTAAACAATTTATCATGCAAATTGCTAAAAGTTAAAATCAAAGACAGAGTAAAAGAAGAATTAAAAAGTAGCCTACCAAAATTTAAAAAGTAAGTAACTGAAGAGGAATAAAATAGGCCTATGCACATATAAGCATGTCTGACTAAAATAATCTAAATAAGATTTAAAACTGAATAAAATCCAAAACATTTATTTTAAGGTCCTTTATGGAAATCCCGCAGCTTAAATAAACGATGTTGCAGATTTTAGTTACATCAGATAAAAAATACAACAGTTAAAACAACATAGCATAATGCAAAATAAACATTGCTGTAAAACAGTCATATTAAACTGATACTTTTGTGATATGGTTTAAAAAACCATAGCATAATGAACATAAACAATGTTGTACATTTTTAAAATCATACTTTATGATAAATTAATATAGTAGATAAAAATATCTGTATCACCAGTTACAGCAGATAAAAATACCAATAGCATAATGCGGATAAAACAAATACATAGCCTAGGCTATTTAAAACACTAATGAATTATACCGTCTTTTCCTTATGTATAAACAATTTTTCAAATTAAACATCATTGCATAATACAGATAAACAGCAATAGTATTGTTTAAAACAGCGTAGCATAAATGAATTATAGAGAAAATACTCACTGTTTTGCATTTTTGATGAGGTGGTCAAAGGTGCAAAAGTTTTTGGTCCAGACATGGGGTATGGCACACGTCCATGTGTCTTGGCTATTTTATAGCCTTTTACAGTAAAACTATGGGAAAACGGCGGAGCTGTGTGTCCACTATATTCTTTCAGTACTCTATGAATGGAAGTGTTTAGGTTCAAGGCCAATTCACATTCCCAGGGGCTAGGCAGACCTTTTGATTACACGAGCGCCATATTTCACTGATAACTGTCACTCCTGAAAATAAGTCTTATGAATTAAAAGTAATTTAATTCGAAAACTATTACTATAGTATTAAAACGAAAACAGCGATGATATCACTTATTTGTCACGCACCCTGTCCATGCTGGCAGGCACTACCTGTGTGATTTTTTCTTCCAACTCTGTAAAACATGCAAGATGTATTTATTTATTTATTTTGAAATAATTAGTTCAGTAAGACATTTATTTTGTATTATATATTTTATTTTATATAATTTAAAATTAACACAATGCTTTTTCAACTTTAGTCAGATAAAATTCCAGCGCCCCAAGCAATGTGGGAGTGAGAGTGGGAGGGAGGGGGAAATACACAGACGCGCGCTCCCTATGTTTTGAGGCAGAGGGAGATCATTTTATTTCAACTTTTTGTGTGAGGTTTTACATAAACTGTATGTTTTATATTATTCAACTCTAATAAATTTTTAACTGTTTACAATTTTAATGGCTCCGTTTTTTTAATCTGAAATGCTTCACTGAATACATTTATTTTTTACGTTTGTGTCAGATAAACTTTCACAGTTTTTTCTTATCACTTTCACACACACACACCTGCTATGATAAGCTTAGGCATAGCGAGGGGATGCGCTGAAAAAAATAAGTATCACATCACTTTGTAACTGTAACATCAAAGGCCAATACATCTCAAACTAACTTCAAACGATTAAACAAACTGTCACCATCCATCATTTTGACAGAAGCTGTAACAGGAAGGGGCGGAACTAGATCAAAGGTAACAATCCATCGCTTTGTAACTGTAACATCAAAGGCCAATACATCTCAAACTAACTTCAAACGATTAAACAAACTGTCACCATCCATCATTTTGACGGAAAGTTTAACAGGAAGAGGCGGAACTAGGTCAAAGGTAACCGGAAGGGGCGGAACTGGGTCAAAGGAAACAGGAAGGGGCGGGACAGGAAAGGGAGGAACCGGAAGGGGCGGGGGAAGATCAAAGGATAGACACGCCCACCTGTCAATCAATCAAATTGACAGGTAGTGTAGGGTATTTACTACTTAAACATTTCTAGTAATTGTGCAGTTAATTCTCATACTGTATTTACAGAAAGTTTGGGAATATATCCCAAATGTGTCACTAATAAAACACAATACAAATAATTTAAAGAGAAGGCTTATATTGACCTTTTAAGATTTTGTTTACATCTACCTTGTACCTATATTTTTGCTATTTTATTAAAAAGGTTACAATTACAACAACAATAAAAATGTTAACTATATTTCAAGTGTAATCTTTCTATATAAACTTAGGTATACATTTTATCATACATATTTCACAGTTACGGATTAATTAGTTTGAATATAGCCTACAATCGAACAAACACTATAATAACATCTTAGTTGATGACTTTATTTTGACAAAACCTAATATCATATGAGCAGAAATTGCCAAACATAAGCTTATTTGATGTGGCAGTATTTTACAGTAAAAACTTTAATCTATTAAAAATTAGTCAACGACATGTTGTCTTTCATATGTAACATATAGTTTGTATTATATACTAGGGCATATAAATATTCATTTGCAGTTTAATACGTTGCTTATACAAAAATATTTTATTTCAACATATTTCAGTCGATTTTTACTCATCTCAGTATAGCAATATAGTTAGGTTAAAGCTGTTCATTCATTCACATACAAAAATGTGATTCATATTCAAACAGTCTTTTTGCGTTTACAGACACTATTCATATCGCGATTAGAACAAAGCACTTGAGAATAAAGAATTTACCTATTCCTCAGCTGGATCCGTTGCTCCTCCAAATGAAACTACCTGCACTGCAGAACGTGCATCATGTTTATTTTTCTTTATTTGTCGAAAAGCACAACACTTTGTTTTTATTGTGAGTTTACACAAAAAAATAGACATTTAACAGGATCGAATGATGTATAACACTTGCCTGTATGACGAAAATCGACGGAGTTATTTGAGTCTCTTTTGCACTGATAAGAAAAAAAGCGAGCTGGTATCGCCGGCGCGACCGCCGACCCCAGAGGGTTAATCCCCTTAAAGATTATCCTGACAATCGATCTATTTTGAATTGACATATCAATATTTAATTATAATTCTTGTGATTGATTATTGATAGTACAATTGTTCGTTGCATTCAATCGTTCATACAGAACATTGGCAACTTATTCCCTTGTAGGTGATTCCTGATCATGTTTCATGATTAGTTATTAAAATTATATTTCCTGTAATAGAGCTAATCCCAAGATTCCCTACACATCTATGTTTCTTCTTTCTCTGTCCAGCGAGCATTGGCCTCCCAGCGGACGTTGCATACATCTATGTCTACTCTTTTCCATCCAGCGAGCATTGGTCTCCCAGTGGATGTACTATGTACTTATGCTGCATTCTATTATTTATGCGTGTCGGAGTTCCGACTAGGAAGACAGACGTTGCCTAGCAACATGCCCCCTTTCCTCGGATTTCCCAGCTCGGAAGTCAGACAACCGTGAGGACACCGAGCAAGAATTCCGATACGGAATCCAAGATGGCTGCACCCTGTGTGACTTGTATGAATTGTTTTCATTGTTTTTATAATTTTTGGACCGCTTTGGTTGTTTAAATGACGATTTTAATCACTCGTATTACTGCAATACCTTACTGCGTCTGTATCACTGCCTGTGGGTATGGGAATCGGCCTTGTTCTGAGTGCAATATTGAATGAAGCCTTGTTTCAAGCGGGTGTTATTAACGTGGCTAGCGTTGCTAACAGAAGATAACTAAAACATGAAATAAAGTGAAAATTTTAGAAGTTCAAATGACTGCGTTTTGATAAGCGCCTGGTACTCGGCCAGTGCTACCATAGCAACAGCTTTCTGGCTGGCGTCCATGTTTTTTCTCCGACTCGGACGCGCAAAACATACCAGAACGCTTGAAGTGTAGAAGTGGCGTCATATACGAGGGCCGAATCGGTTCGTTGACAATAATTGGTTCGTTGACATAATAGAACGCAGTGTTATCTCTACTCTCTCCCATCCAGCGAGCATGGGTCTCCCAGCGGACGTACTATGTACTTATCTCTACTCTCTCCCGTCCAGCGAGCATTGGTCTCTCAGCGGACTCGACACGTATCTATCTTCCTTGCCCAGCCAGCATTTTCAAATTAATTCCACCTCGCAGGCGGCCGGTAGAGCCCAATATCCTGACGCCATCGAGCCGCTCACGTCAGAAGCTACATGGGCCCTCCCGGTCAGCCGTTTTTTCGATTCCCCCTTAACTCACCCGTTACTCACCTGTTAACGCCATGGAGATATACTTGATCAAGCGATCAAGCTTATTGAAAAGCCAGCCCGCCAAATTCGCTGCGTCTTTGTCTTTTTGCTCTTTTGCTTTTTGGGGGGAGTACTCTGGGTTCGGGCAGAAATTCCGAGCTCGGAGCCCTCCACCCGGACAGCACGCCAAGCAGGGATGTAGTGGAGGCTAAACGCACGTAAACGCCGTTTACGCACCTCCCAATATTCGGAAATAGCGTTTACCCACCTCCAAAGTGCGTTTATCCCCCTCTAAATTGCGTTTATCCACCTCTAAATAGCTATAAATTAAGCTTATGTCGTTTTACTTTCATATTGTTCATTATTAGTTTCATAGGTTAAACCTAAGACGAACTCTTTCATATTGCGCTGCATTACTGTCAGTGTTGTTGACTATTACTGACGGTAAGGTTGCGCTGTTGACGCTCGCGCAGCCTCTCGAGGAGAAATCTACACAAATGAGCGCACACACACACAAACAACATACTGCCTATAAAAAATCTAAATGTGGAGTTTTTATATTTTGAACATATGTTAAGCAACCTCAATTATTTTTCCTGAACACCATCACGATTGAAAATATGACATTGATTACCTACAACAGTTCAATAAACAGTTAAGATTAAGTCACTTACATTTTAGATGCAATATTGGCTGTTTTTGTTCTGTTTCAGCAGCGA